AGAGATTTCTAGGGTCCGCCCCTACCCAATCCACCACACCAAAGTTTTTTTTCTTTTCTTTCTTTCATTTATTTTTTCTCTTCTTTTTTTGTTCCTTCTTTTCTTTCCTTCCACAGATCTCAAACCGTCAATCATGTCGCCAAAGAGATCTATGCCCAAGTCTACTTGGAACGAGATACAGTGAGAGCTCCACCTCCTTCAGCGGAGGCTTATGGATATTGAAGAGGAAATTTAGTGGAATGTTACCCTCGACCGTGATCTAAAAGGTCGAAGGGAACAACGAGAAAATATGAGGATGGAGCGATAAAACGAAGCGCTAGTTCCTACCTACTACCACCAAAAGTTGCAGACGCAAGCTTCCGAAGTGAAAATACTGCATCACCAAGCGACCCCCATTGCTACTCTCCAGCAAAACAAATTCGCAAGTCTATCACAACCAGAAGATGTTGCAAGTGCCCACAGATTTGGAAATGTTGAAGCAGAATGCACAACCAGGTAAGTGATCTACTTCACCGAGCAGAGCATCATAGAAAAGTTGAATAAAAACACCGCAAACACTGAAGAGCAATTCAAACAAGAATTCCACCTGATGATGTCTTTCCCTGTGAAACTCCCTTAATCATAGATTCATCCAATGCATTTCCTTCATGTGATAAAAAAGAACATGCGATTTTTTATGAGATTGTGGTTCTTGCTATTCTAGAAAATGATGAACTTTTTGTTGAGAGATAAAATCACGTAGACAAGAAAAAGTTAGAATTTAAAATTTCAGTGGAAGGCTTAGTAACAATCGACCAATAACATCACAAGCGGCAATACTTCCAGCACTCACCCCAGTGTTCCATATGAAGAGATGAAAGACCAGTGTTAAGCTCTTGTTATTAGAACACAGCGGAAGAAGTCGGTTCTCCAAAACTTCAAGAATTGGAAGGAATACCAGAAACATAATAAGAATCACCCATCATGTCATAAATGAGAAGCATATGAGATATTTATTTATTCGAAATTTGGCTCAGGAGAACCTGCGTGGTGGTATACCTCTAGCTCAGATTATTCCAAACCAAAACATATTGATATGGAGGTATGTTCGCAAGTGAAAAAAGCTCCTCAGATGCTTTGGTAGATGGTGCAGTCGCCAATGGGATTCAGGGGAGGCTGACAACGACACGGAAGCTTCGAATAATGATGTTGAAGCTCCCTCAACCTTGAGAGACTGATGCAGGGCTATAGAGGACCAATCGGTCCTTAAAGGAAGGGAGGTCGCCACTCCTCCCTTACCCTTCTCTCCCCTTCTCCTCTTTTCTTCTTAGCACATTTCTAATATAAATCTTTCCAAATCTGAGTATTTTTATTCCTCTTTCCTAAATCTGAATTTCCAAATCATAATTTTTGAATACTTTATTCCTCTTTCCTAAATTTAAATTTCCATTATAATCATTTTCCTAAATTGAATTTCCAAATAAAATTTTCTGAATATTTTAGTCCTCTTTCCTAAATCTGAAATCCTGATTTGTTTATTCTTTCTTATTTTAAGTATTGTCTAAAATAAAGTTTCAGCCTCTTTATAAATAGGGGATGATGTACTTAGATTTAGGGGTCTTGCTTCGATATCTAAATTCAGGTTTTAGCTCAAGTATTTTCCCTTCGAGACTTGTATTCAACGTCGAGATAGTGTTTCGGCTATCTCTCGTCCGAGATGGTGATCGTCTCCACGAGTCTAGGTGGTGTTTTGGTTGTAGCTCGACCTCGCCAAGATATTTATCTAGCCTTCCCCCCTTCCTACTGTTGTCAACCTGCTTTCCAGCCCTACAACAGGCCACCACACCCCTTGCCCAACAATCGTTGGCTGCTGTCCTGCCTCTAAACGCTTCCAGCAGCTTCCCCGTCTCCTGCACAACCAACAGTCCCTTCGGCTCCTCCCAGCAGCCGCAATACCCCTTTCCGGCATTCTCTGGGTTGACCTACCTCTTCCCTTTGTTGTTCCTTGATTCCAACATCCCCAGCAGCTCTCACCCTCGTAGACTGTCGTCCAACCTCCTTCCAACGCCCAACTAGCAGTAGCCCAGAGCTTATTCCTTCATCCTGCTGCCAGCCTTTTCCCAGCAAAATCACAACTCTCCATACACCTCCACTCCGAATTTCCTGCTCGTCATGTTTGTTTGTGTCGTCCTTATTGTATGTGTGTTTGCTTTTATCCAATACCGTTGTTTTGGATAGTTGTTCTTTGTACTTGGGTCTCCATTGTAACCTCATTTAGAGTCAACAATAATATTCGTATTTTAGAATCGTGGTTTGGGTCAACTCCGGTATCAGTTATCTAGCTTCAGGGGTTGTCGAGAGGCTAATTCAGCCTATATGACCTTCATTTTTTGGAGGATTATAGCAATTTCTTTTTCGGATTCAACCATCGGCTCAAAGGATTTCAAATCCGTAACTAGCTCCCTAGTTTCCAAACTAGCTATGTGCTCCCGCACGTCAAAGTGTGCACCTTCTACTGAGTCTAGGAGGTCCATTAAACCAACACGATCTTCCAAATAAGAGGTGATATCAGTTACAACACATGAACTCAACAATATCCATTCAGTCGAAGCGAGATTCTCTCTGGCCTCCCCTTTAGCCGCAAGAACATCGACAAAATTGGTAGCTTCAGGTGGAATTCTGACCATCATCCATTCCAGAATATTCAATGATTTGATCATTTGTCATCTTTGAAAGCAACAAGATATCGTATTCGGCAAGAAAATAATTCTCAGACTAACGAAATCTCGTTATAATACCTTCCAAAGGTAGACCATCTTCTTGGTGCAAGACTTTGCCCTTGACAGAACAAGTCCTAGGAAAATCTTCCTTGTTGATAAAAGCTCTCTACAAACAACTTTGAAAGAAAATTGTTGCTCATTCATCTTACCTGCATTTTTCACAAGAAAATCGCGAAGTCTTGCCATGGAAGCAATGGTTTAAAAGCTTAGAAAGATAAATTATAACATCCTCACCAGCATAGTCAGGCTCGACAAAAATTATTATACTAGGCTCTCATTCCCTGTTCACATCAGAAAGTTGATCTTTTGTCGGATCATTCAAATCTAGAGGAATCTTCCCTAGTGAACGAGATTTGGAGTGAGGTGGCGTTATCTCATCTATCAAAATGGTTCATTGTATCTCCTCCGTGGTGGAACTAAAGAACCTATGACTTCGACAAAAAAACCTGAAGGACCCTCTACCAGAACATCTTCAATCTCGCAAAGCTTTGCTCCCTTCGGAAGTCTTCTTCTAAGCTCAAGTTAACCAACTGCTTATTGTGGTGGAAGTTCTCTTCAAGGCGGGATCGTTAAACCTTCATCTCAGTTACCAGGGTCTTGATCATCACGAAAATAGAATTATCAAATGAACGTCTCAAACTTACTAATCGAAAGCACTCTCTTCTCTAGAAAAACAAAACCCACAATTCTCTTATAACACTTCTTATACCCTAAAGGGAGTATACTCTTAAAAGTTTAATAACTGTTGCAATCAATGTTATTCACGACTTTCAACTTATTTTGTAGTTTTCCTTTTTGGGCAAATCAAATGGTGTAACAACAAAAAACCCAAATACATGTCTTGACCACGTACAATTTCATCAATCAAATCAACCAAGTTGAATCTTTTTAATCATGGAGTTCGTATTCAAGGAATCTCAGAGGGATGAACCAAAGAATCGGAAAAACATTTTCCCATAGAAGAGCCAAGGCTCCCAAGGATGAAGTGGATCTCCCTCACCATAATAAATCAAGAGACTACTCCCTATAGGCAAAGCACAAAAGTGCCCCCAAGTGAAGGTTAGTCCCGGTTCATTAATGAGTGGGAACGATCTAATTCCTCATACAAAAATTTGATCTGCTCTCGAGTCAAAAAGGTCCATTTTCGAATCATATTGATTTCTCACCTCGAAGATCTTTGTTCAGAGTCATTAAGCTCAACAAAAGCCAATGACCCTGCAACTGTACACAATCGAAAGATCTCCATTCTCTTATTTTTCTCATAGAACCTGATCGAAGAATCAAGAAAATTGGGAACTAAATGTATACACAAATGTGGTCATATGCCTAAATAAGGGCTTTCTATGTGTATTCTAACACAAAAACTAATACGTTGAAGTGAGCCCACCAGCCGAAGTAGTTGAATCGAGCCCACCTACTGAATTGCCCAAATTGAGCCTTACCTGCCAAAGTGGCCAATTTTGCCTCACGCGTGAAGGTGACCTTTCCCACCTAGGGAGAGACAACTACTACGAAAGACTATCATTAATTTCAAGGATGCTCCATCATTCTTTAAAGACATCGATTGACATCCATATCACGGTCATTTCATCAAAACATCATTGATGGGTGGCATACTTACATTTTCTATTATTTTTTCCTTATTGTATAAAAGAGAAGTCAAGATGTGATGAGAGAATCCTTGATATTTTTTGAAATTCTCTCTCTCTCTCTCGCTCCCCCCCCCCCCCCCCCCCCCCCCCTGCCTAAAGAAAAAAATGCAATTCGGGAAACCTCTCCTGAGCCGTTTTTTTCGACTTGTCTGGTTCAAGCTCAATACACAATCACTTAGACCTTCTCTCAAACCTCGCATAAATCTCTCTCTTCTGCTCTCTTACACAAATACAAGGTGTTTACCGGGCTGTATATACTCGCTATCGATACAGAACTTCACGTCCTAAAAGGATTCAACACCAACTAATGATGGAATCACATCCATTCCAATGGATATCCAAAGATAAAATCCACATACACAACAACACAGGCATCAATAACCAAGTGAAACATTAAAAAGCCGTTTCTAAACAGTCTAATTTTTCAGGTTTTAATCCTCCTATGTTTTACTAATATGGATTTAGACTAAATCGTAACTAAACATGTTAACAAAACTGTACCCAGTTCAATCCAACCAAGCGATATTGTAGAAGGACCAATGATCATATAGACAAACTTTTAATTTGTATAAAAACCAAAAGATCCAATTAAACAAGTAATCAACTGAAAAGGCAGTGCAGAGAGTCAAATTGGATATACCAAAAGCAAATATTAAAGAAATGCAAATCCCATGGCATACTCTTCATGAAAACATTGGTCTGTCCGTCCAAGCCCCTGAAACATGTCCATTCTCACAAACGTAAGCTCGTACAACAGGCTCTCCATCATCATGGAACCCAAACACTGTCCTCAGGCAGAAAGCAGAATGAAGATCCCAAATTTCTTTACAATCACAGAAGGCACAGTTCAGCTCAATCTTGCTCCGTTTGCTTTCATTTATGGTTCTCCAAACCCTAGAGCGCTTGAAATTCTTAAATAGGCCCCTAAATAGCTTATAATTCCGCTTCTCTTCAACATGGATACATCCAGGCCACTCACAGATGTAAAGGGAATCATCCCTGAATCTATTAGCCAGCAACTTGCTACCTTGTTCCCTGCTGAGATTCCAAGCTCCAGAGGCTAAATGGGCAGTCACTGGGCTGCTGTAAACACCATCGATCTTTCTCTTCTTTGAAACATCCTGGTAACTTGTACGAGGCATTGCGCCCCATGCATTTTCATTTTCAGGTGGAGAAGGAGTTGGATCATGAGTTTCGGATATATCATAGATGGTATCAAAGTAGAGATCATCAAATAAAGACCAGCAATCAGAAGGAGAAATGGAAGGCGGCGTAGTTGTCGTGCTGGTGGTGGTGATGGTAGCTGCCTCGGCAAAGGCGGTAGGAAGGGGCGGCGCTGGCGACCGGCGGATGTAATCCTCGTCCGGACCGATCTCTCGTTCGAGTCCGAAGTCGGAGTTTTCGAGTAGTACTCCAGCGCGAAGAAGGCCAGGACAGCAGACGGAGAGCTTGTGAAGGGCAGCCCAGCCTCCTGGAGGACCGGATGGGGGGTTCTTGCCCAGGTCGGAGGCTAGGGATGGTGAGGAGCGGAAGCACTTCTCTCGGTAGCAGACGTTGCGTAAGAGGGAGGCGAAGCGGGTGGAGACACAAGCGAGTCGAGCCCAGTCGCGAGGGTCGGACTCCAGGTTTGCGAGGATGTTGAGGATGATATCGTCTGAAAGGACCACAAAGAGCCCTCCGACGACGGGGGAACAAGTGGTATCTGTGGCTTGTTCTGCCTTGCAGCATTCCATGATGGGACTGGATTCGCTTTCTGCGAAAAAACAGCCAAAAGCGGCTTACAAAAACCTAGAGCGCTTGATCTCAAATGAAAATTAAGAAAATTAATTCGATCGAAAAGCCGGAAGAGAGATGAAATGTTTGTTTGGATGATCCATGAACAGCGAGAAAGCAAAGGGCGTCTCGCATGCTCTGGGAACGATCAATAGAGAGGAAACTGAAGAAGAAAAGAGGATTTAAGATGACTGAATCTGATTCTCGATCTAGTGGAGGAGGCGAGCTTTAGTGGTGATGAGAGAGAGGGCGGTGGAGGGTTTTGTGGAGGAGAAGCGTCGGCGGAGGTTGCCACAGTGAAAGGGGACGACATTTAAACATATTTCTGTCCTTTTTTACAAAACTAACATCTCCCCTCTCTTCTCTCTCCTCTCCAGCTGTACTGTGGAGGTCGTTTTGCCAGGTGTGTGACAAGCATATTTTCATCTGGCATTGAGATTCGTGCACAGCCAATTCTGGTGTTCCGCTCACCCTGCCTCCGGAATTTTAAACTCACCTCGCTTGAGATTCACAACTTCTTAGTAGAGTGACGTTTCACCTTAAATCCCACTTCTAAATTCTAATAGAGAAAATTTTCATATGGTCTTCCGCCCAACTTAAGTTCAGACGACGAGATTTTTGTTTCACTGTGAAGCGAGGACTTAGCTCGTGTTCAGACGTAAATTTTTTTTCCTTTTAATGGGAAATAAATTGAATATTCAGAGGACGAATACGATACATGTTTGAGATAAAAAAATATGTAAAATAATAAAATTTCCAATCTTTACAATCACTTCCTTATAAGAAAAGGTATCAATTAAATCAGTGATACTTCATTATCACTATAATTTTAAATATTTTAAATTCCTTAAGAATTAAAAGTCCCTTATGTAACTTTTATATACTTTCTCTTAAAAGCTTAAAATTAATTTTTAAGATGTGGATTATATGATGTTTGTGGATAATTACCTTCTCACAAAATTAATATCTTAACAAAATTTAGCAATGTTTCATCATCATCATCCAAGATTTCTACTTTTTAAATTTTGGGCTTGTAATTTTTTTTTTTTTTAATTCGGTCTTGGGGGGTTTAAATTGATGCAATTGGACTTTGAATTTAAATTTAAGGCATTAAGGAGAGTTTTTTGTATTCCTAATATCACTAAAGACTAATTGAAATTTAGTCTTTAAAGATAATTTGGTTTTGCTCAAATGGCCCGTAATAAACCTTTTGATTGAAAGGATTTGACCAAGCCTTTAGGCGAGCGTGATTGAGTCTAAACTTCCTTCTATAAGGTATAATTTGAGTAATTTGGATGAAATTTGATTAATTGTGACCTTGATGGGTCATTTGGGAAATTGGAATTGACCAAGGACTTAGAGATCCTGCATTGGTTCAATGATGGTCTGTGGTGATCCTTAAACATGTTGGGAATATTATAAATCAAAATTTTGAGAAAATGAGATACTTTATTTTAATAGGTCTTATAGAGTCATCAACTTTGATTTGGTCAAACATGATTAACCAACCTCCTTGGCTCAAGAGAAAATCCAAGAGAGGATTTGGAGCCACTAGAATGGGCCAAAGGAATTACAAGTAATTTTAGGTTCACCAAGTCTTAATAGGATGCCTAAGGCTTTAAGTGGGTCTAAATGGGTTTGGTCTTAATTAAATTTCATGGTTTAAACATAACCTTGCCACTCACCCTCTAATTTTATTTAGCAATCTAGAGTTTAATCATAGCTCATTTAAGCCCAATGGAAGGAGGGATAAAGTTAGATTAGTCATTTACAAAAATTTATAGAAGACTACCCATGGCTCACTGGGAATGAAACCGGGTTTGAGAGTGGTGGTTGCATATATGGTTGATTTTGTCAATCTTATTAGAAAATGAGATCAACTCTGATTTGGGAATTCTGCCAACAACTATTCTTGCTAAAATACATGTAGATATTCATAATGTCATTTATATTTTTTTCTCCGAGTAAATAGGTTACATATATTGTAAATAGGAACTAAAGGGTTGAAATAACATTAATTCGACTATGAGATAAAAAATTGGTTGAATTTTGGTTGATGTTGTGAAAAATTTAATTCCTAGGAAATGAAAGAATAAAAATAAAAATAAATAAACACATATTAATTAAATTAAATTAATTAAATAATTATATAAAATTCAGCTATTCATAAAAAAATTATTTCAATTCAGAATGTCTCGGAAATTTTAGGGTCTATTTAAAACTAAAATTTAAACATCCTTTTAAAATCTCATAGCATATGGAGATCATTTTAATTTATTGTGAATCTTTAATTTAAAAATACATTAAAAAAACAAATAATTACAAATAAATAAATAAATAAATATACAAAAAAATCATAAAAAAATTAAAAATATACTTGATACTATTGATAACTTCCAGAAACAATTCCAATACATTTTGAAAATATTTAACCCAATACATACAAATTGCTTTGAAAGTTTAGAATTACTTCATTCTTAACTATAAAAATTCATAAAATGTATAAAATTCCTTAAATTTCGTATTATTTGAGTTCTTAAGATCCTCAATTACTTCTTCAAGTAGTTTGTGGTATTTTATAAGACTTTGATATTGGTTAAATACATGTTTATGATTTATAAGCACGTGTACATTATTTAATTAATATTATAATAAATTCAAATAAAGACAAAACTCCATAAAAATTTACAAAATATTTAAAACACTTAAATAAACATTTCGTACACAAAATTGAACATTAAGAATAATAAAAGCCACAATTTGAATAATAAGACCTAGTTTAAACTTTGCCCATACACATGCTACGTATAGTGCCATGTCACCGACTAGTTTTAAGAATAACTCGATGTGAGATTAAATTGACATGTTTTATGTGTTTTTATTTCGATTATTTTGTTTGCTTGTTAGACATATTAGTATTGACATCCATTTTTTATGCGACATACACAGAACATCCTTTTTGAATGCACAACACGTGCTACGTCGCTGACTGTAGTTTTAAGAATAGTTTGATGTGAGATTAGATTGATGTGTTTTATGTGTTTTTATTTTGATTATTGTGTATGCTTGTTAAACATATTAGTGTTGGCATCCATTTTTAATGCAACATACACGGGATATCCTTGTTGAATGCATGACATTGTAATTAAGGTCTACACCATCATAGCCATGCCCCGAGTCGATCATGGCTAGGTCATCATTATTCTGGTATCCTCCAAGTTGACATTTGTTCATGTGACAAAGAGTTGCATCCTGTTGATATTGACATTCCCGTGGCGTAAACTATTGATTAGAGTACCCACACCATGTTCGGACCATAAGTCCAACGCTCTGCTCGATGATACGTAGACGGCTCGACCTCTCAAAATTTTTTTAGACACATTTATGGTCCCTACGGAGGTCCAAGGATCATGACCTGCTCACATTCGATCCTCCAGATGTCCCACGAGGCCTAGAACCCCCTTGGGGAGCTTCTCCAGAAGCCCAATTTTCTTAGGGTCCATCTTGATCACCCCTAAACCGGGAATGGCCATGCCGAGACCTCACCGAAGAACACAAAGAGTTGTAGTCGGCGTGATCACGCCAACCAAACAGATGCCACACCATAATTACGGTGCAACATGAGAGTAACTACGCCCAAATCTTAGCAGACACCAAAGTTCATCGATCGGTGTGACCACACCCGCAAGTGGCGTGGCCACGCCGCCCAAACATAGCGTCTGATGTAATTATGCGAGGCCTCGGGTGTGGTCATGTCGGGCCTCCAACTGCTATGCTTTGAATAGTTGCGTGGCCACACATGCCAAATGCAGCGTGGCCACGCCGCCTGGACCGATTCGCAAATTTTGACCCATTCGATTCCCGTTGGGATGGTTGTTCCTTCTTATTTTGCTTGATTTTTTATCCAAATAAGGCATAGGAGATATTTTTGGCGCATTCCATATTGGGAAAGTAGCTTTGAACCCTTGGGAAAACCCCCTTTGTCTGAATAACCCATTGAGAAGAGGTTATTTGAGCTAATCGACGCCCATTGATTGAGGAGGAGAGCTTGGAGCAAGGGGAGGTTTCAGGGAGCCTCCAGGGAGAATTCTTGAGGGATTCATCTTTTTTTCTCAATGAGAAGTCAATGCAAGTTGTTCTTCTCCATTTTCTCATCTTTCCTTCCATTTTTCTGATCGTCTTCCTCGTCTCCAACGACATTCCGACGAGCTGACGAGGAAAGCTTCTTCATTATTTTGGGGAAGGTAAACTCAAAAAAATTCCTCATTCTCTCCGGTGAAGAGAGCTTCCTCACCACTTGGGAAAACAGTTGTTTTCCTCATCTCCAATGACATTCTCACGAGCCGACGAGGAAAGCTCCCTCACATCTTTGGAGAAGGCAAACTCCCTCAAGGTAGTCACTCTCTTCGATTAGGAGAGCTTCTTCCAGAATGAACGTTGAACTTCAATCAAACATCGTAGCGGCGAGACTTCTCAAACTTTCATTCCTTCTTTCATTAGAGCCCCTAGGTCTAGATGTTAGATAAATTAAGTTAGGATTTTGATTTTCTAGAGGAAACCACAGAGGTTTAGGAGCCTTTGTGTTTCCCCTGTGAATCCATGATAAAAACCCATCTTTTTCGTTTCTAGCACAAAATCTCTACGTCTGGGGTCGTCGTAACAATGCGTTGCGTCGGTGATTTCATCCCCACGACAGAGGGAAATCTGTCGTTTGGGCGAAGAGGTGTAGTTTCTTTGTATCTCATGAAGGATTTTGATGCAGTGCGATATTCCTTACATCCGTGTGGTTCACGAGCCACTGGCCTAGAATAGAATATCCAATATGAGTTCTTATTCTAGAACAAGTTTGGGATGCTTGATGTAAGACTTGCCCCTCTTTTATCACTAGATTTCTCATTTCTTCTATCTAATGGCGCACATATTCCCTGGTAACATCTATCGTTATCACTTACAACATTGAAATGATGCTAAAGAGGATATTGTCTTCAAAATTTGAGTGTGATATTCACGCTCAACACACCTTGCAGAACGTTGGATCCATTTTTGGGATATAGGATCTCCTACTATTCGTGATATCACATAATCCAATATAAGATCCTGAATTTCTTTTGTATTTAGAGGGAAAGACAAAAAACAGAAAAAGGGGTAAGAAGGTCCCAACGGGAGAGAGTCCTCCCTTGCCTTGTGCCTTTTCTTACCCGTAAAAAGAATTGCCCCCATCACCTTGATGTGAGGGAGGATTTTAATGAGGATAATATGTTTGCTAAGGGGGACAGTTTGATGTTGGCGATGTGATAGGTGTCTTTTCTCTCGGTCGATGGATTTTGTCTTGGAAATTCTCAAATGCATTTATTTTTAGCTAGGCGTCGCTTTCATCTGGACTGAAGTACTTCGGACTACTGAAGACGAAGTGGTCTTTTTGGCGAGCGAATATGTTTGAAAATAAATAAATAAATAAAAAGGGACCGGTTCGGATGATCAAAGCTCCGGTGCTTTAAGCAGAAAGGGGTATGGGTTCAAGTCCCCGTATTTGTATATATATATAGACAGATTATTTAATGACATGATTCTTTCATTAATTATTATGAGAAAACTCTACATGGAAAAATACCTAAATACATAGAAGACTAAAAATAGGAAGCTAAACTAATAATAATAATTGGGCTTTTTTTTCTCTCTATTATAGTACATACATATTGATTTAGTTAAAGATCTGAAATCAACCGTATTCATTCGGTGTTACAAGAACAAAATCGTGAGTTGATCTCGTTAAACAGTGACACAGAGGCTTGAGCGGTGGTAAATGACATATTTATAGGAGTTGCTGAATGTTCTTTGGTGAGATGTCTGCTGCATTCCCATGGACAAGTTTCTTCGCAACTATCAAATTAGCTGCCTCTGTTGGATGATATGGATCCCAATATACATACTTTGAACGGTCTCCGCAAAGGCTGGATGCTGGGCCACATGCAATCATGCCCCCATGAACCCCTCCATTGCCACAACAAGCATCTACTGCTGTTTCAAACCCTGTCATGTGATCATGATTATTAAACTTATTAGATGTTTTGTAAGAAGAACACAAAATATGAAATCTAACCTACCGTAGGATTTATGATTTGTGATGACGTCCATGAACAGATCATACAAGTTGGCATAAAGTAAATTTGATCCAGGCAGGATTTGATTAAGTTCAGAAAGCAATTGACGCAATTGCCTATTATACATGGTAGCCAACTGGTTAGGCAACGCAGCACAACCTGTTTCGTCAACTGGTGCTACGGATGTTTGATAAGGAATGCATCCAATTGGCACTATATTTCCCATCACTATTTTCCTTGCATCAAGGTAGTAAAGCCTCTGCATTTATCCACAGGTTTTGGACACCATTAATTAAACTCTACAAAGAAGGAAAGATGACTTTCTAAATTCATTTACTGGTAATGCTTTGATTTGTCTCTGTTTTTAAGCATAAAAAAAGTAAAGCTTGAATTTATCAACTAGAACACAATTAGCCTGCCTGCGGACATCTGGTTTTTTTGAAAACAGTAGAGAGCATGAATGCAGGGAGATGAGCTTACAGTGAGCTGTTCTCTTAGCGCAATCATGAGACCATTTGTGTATGTATCTGGTTGTTCAAAATCTGTTATGAAAGTCAGGTAGTTGTTGAGGAAGTCATTTGCTCCGATGGTGATTGAGAAAATTGCGTTTTGCACTAGCTCCCTGGCTTCATCCTTCCCTAAGAATTCATCCAATTGTTGCCTGGTGCTATTAAAGTAATCAATTTGAACGTCCATTCCTAGTCGGCTCACCTGTATGCATGAAATCAAACTCAGAAGTTAAACTTAAATAAAAAAGATGCATTTCTAATATGTTGGAATATGTTGGACAATCGTAAATATAAAAAAAAAAAAAAGCCAAGCAGATGTTCTCTTATTTCTATTATGGAGAAAGCAGGAAGCAAAGCAGAAGCGTAAGTACATATAGCGCCCCAGTTTTATTCAATATTCCCCCTGCTCCAGATGCATAATTGACCCCATTCAGCAGAGCAGCACCGGCTGTATATCGATCCAAAAATGGAGGTGCATAATTTCGCTGTCCTACTTCTTCCCCTGAAGCACAACAGGAAAAATCAAACTTCGATGCACCATCAAGATTATGCAACATATAAATGTCTTATTCTTTCAAGCTTTTGTCACCCAATTCTGACCTAATGTAGAAGCAACATAAGCTGTGACAGAAGCAAAAACTGACCGATAATATCAGCCATGGTCCTGCCGTTTGTGAATCGACCGGTGGGCATGCCACCGGAGGCCTTGAAGTCGATGCCATTAGGAAAGTGATTTGCCTTTGAGAGCGTAGTTAACAAGTAGTTGTTGTTTCCAGAGTCAACATGAGAATCACCAAAGACGAATATGGCAGGCGGCCGATCTCTTGCTCCTCCAGCCAAAACTATGGTGGAAAAGAGAGAGGGCAGCAGCAACAATGGCATGAACATTTTATGGAGAGTAGGGGGAATGAGAGCTTGGATCAGGCAGAAGGTAGAAATAAGTTGAGAGAGTTTATAGGCCTCTAAATCTTCATAGTAGATAAGAGATTTGACGTGCATGGGTGCATGGATGACGCTAGTAAAGATGGTAGGTTTGAACTTTTTGCGTGGGCTGTATAGAATAGTGTTTGCTTTAATTGCTGTTGCATTTTAAGAATGCAGCTTAGTGGTAAGTCAATCAGCTGTTGGGAATTAAGAGGAAGAAATGTCATTGACGCTGAAGAGGCTAGGCAGGAATAACGTATGATGTTCTCCTTTTTTTTTCATTACATTTACTGTGTATGAGTTCTTACTTTTTTAGATTGGAGAAAGAACGATTAAAAAGGTTTTTTTTTTTTTTTTAATGTTTGGTAGCGTATTATTAATTGGATTTAATCATGAATTTAATTTAAATCCATTCAAATATAAAAAAAAAATAAAAATTTAAATCCAAAATATCGTTAAGTGTAATTTTTTTGCATTTTGTCTTTCACTTCTCACATCCCTTTATTTTCAGGATGTAAATCCAAATTTCATAAATTCGAATGTGGTTCACTCTCAATATCTTTTGTCACAACAACGTCACAATAAGGATCAAATAAATCCAAATTTATAGGATTTTATGAATTCCATCAAGCAAAAATCAAATTTGCAACTAAACACTGCATTAACATGAATGTAAAATATAACACATCAATTATTTTTATTTTTTTTACAGAAATAATTTTTTGATTTTTTTATCTAAACTTTCATTTTCATTTTCCTACCTCATTCGGGCAATTTAATCAATCTTGTTAAACAAGGCAAACAATTGACAATTCAAGGAAGAAAAGTTAGACTTCATTTTTGGCACAAGTCAAGACCGTCAATTATTGCTCATCACACCGCGAAATCTAGAACTCCCTTTCTTGCTCAGCAAGTCATCTTGTGCCAACTTATTGTTGGCATTTTCGAAACCCCCAAGATAAGTATGTGCAAATCTTATCGGGGATATATCTATATCTACACAATCAGTGTCACTGTTTTCTTAGTGTAGTTAAAATAAAAAGGGAATAAATTGAGACCATCTGGAATAAACATTCTGAATTATAACTTTTTTATTAGTATATGTTATATTTTTTATACTAAAACTCTAAAAAAAAAAAAAAAAAAAACCCATGAACAAAAAAAAAAAAAAAAGGATATTTTAAAATATGTCCATTTGCGCCTCCACCAAAAACACTTTTCTCTTACAACGTTGAGCAGGTTGAAACTATTATATTTGGGATATAACATATGTTTTGTAATTGCTGTAATGAGATGAAAGATACAAATGTTTTGTAATCGATGTCACTTACTAATTTACTATCATTTTTCATTAAACAATCTCACATTTTCTTAAAGGATTTTTCTGGAGGAGAATCGAGAAATGGTTGACATACATTTACAGATAACTAGTGCTATAATAGAGATGATACATGGTATTTTAGATGAATACATTTTATTGATGATGATATATTATTTCGAGGCCAATGTTTGATAGATTCTACACTGATCGTCAGTGTGTTCAGGATGCGTTGACCGGTCATCCAATGAGATCATATAATCGTTTTTGGGTTCCAACATAGTTTTAATATAGTTGAGAGATTTATTGATTAATAGATGACTACGGGCTGATACTAAGAATATGGATGTTGCAGAACAATTAGAAATTTTTCTTCGAGGCATCGTATGTGCTCATAGTTATAGTCAACTCTGTAAATTTTTCTAGCACTCATTTAAAGTAGTATCTAGATACTTCAATATAGTGTTACGAGCAATTGTATCACCATGAAAAGAATTCATTAAGTTGCCCTAGACAAAAGTGAATTCATACAGACAACTGCATGGTTTTATTCATATTTTTAACGCTATAGAGGCAATTGATGGAGCTTACATCCCTGCAGTAGATAATAGAGATGCAAAAAAAATGTACAGCAACAAAAAAAAAAAAATTACGTCACAAAAAGTAATGGCTGCAGTTACGTTTGATCATCAATTTGTTTTCATTGCCACCGGTTGAGAATGCTCTACTGCAGATATGGGGCTATTACGATGATCAGTAGAGCAGGGGAAATTTACAGTTCATAAAAATAAATATTATTTGATTGATTCGGAGTATGCAAATACAGAGAAGATGATGACACTTTTTCAAATGATATCATTGTTATTTAAGTGATTGTCGTACAACCACGACCCTTAGATATTCAAGCCCATATGAATTATCCAATCATCGACACACATAACTACGCAATGTTGTTGAAAGAATTTTCGGATTTTGAAAAGAAAGATTTGCGCAAGTTTTCAATTAAGGTACAAGCCGATATTGAGCTGGCTTTGTGAAGTTTTGCACAATTTCATTGAATATTATCATGAGAGTGATACATATTTTGACATGTCCCAAGCTGAGATGGAGCATGATAGTCGGCTAGATGAGGTTACGGACACTTATGAAAACCCTGAATTGCATGAAACAATTAGTGAGAGGTTTTGAGAGAAGCAGTACAAGACGAAATTACAAAAAAAGTATGGGCAGCACATGTAAGCTTCACTATTCTTTGTTGTTGATTCTAGGTAAATAACCCAGAGATGTTGATTAAGCTGAGTAACTGTTTAATTTCAAACGAATAAGATATGTTTATCAATCATTGCTCCACTAACATACAACAATCCATAATCATTCCTATCACCCGCAAAACCATTCAACTTATGTTGAATGCATTTCTTGAGTTTAAACTCTTTAGTTTGGCATCATTGTTGAACTCTTCTTATTTTTTATTTTTTGAACTTGTGTTGTAACATAAATTATAATGCTGAAGCAGAATGCAATTAAGTTGTTATTAGCCTGATGCTTGAATCATATTCTTACAGGTTATTGGTGGGAAGTAATTTTCTTATTTCCATAAAAATCCCTTTGCATTTCCATTACATACATACCACTCGATCATATTCTTACAAGAACACGAGAACCCTAGACATGAATACGGGAAGATACGGACATGTGACTCGCTGTTATTATTAAAAATATAAGATAGGAATGCAACACGACATAAAAGTATAATATATAAAGACATTTAAGCACATAACCACCCAAATCATAAGTATTTACATATAAAAAAGTTTACTTTTTACAGTTATCACATCTGAATCTTTCATTACACATCTAAGATACAGCTATTTTAACATTTCAGAATTGAAATATAAATTTTTTTATGCACAGGTAACGTAAAATATATATAAAAAATAAAGTTTTCTCTGTTGAATACGTAAATAAATAAAAGTTGATAAAAAAAAGATAATTAGACATTTAATTGCATTAACTTTAAACGCTAATGAAAAGCTAAGAGATCCATCGATAGATTTTATTTATAACAAAAAAAGTAAGCATTTAAGTGTCTTATTTTACAATAATATAAGTTTTATTTTTAAATAAAAAATAGAATAATTGTATTAAATTTTAATCTTTAAAATATATTTGTTTAAAAATATTCTTTGAAAAATTTAATACAATGACTTATGATATTTGTGTCCTTTTTTTAATATTTTTTAATTGAGATATTTTTATGTCGTATTATGTGTGTCTGATATTGCACCCTTTAATCAGGTATGAACGAGGTCTTCATAATTCAATGTATATTTAATAAAAATTAAATTAAACATTTATTTAGAATTAGAAATGTTTTTTTTTATTTCACATTAAAATGAAATAAAAAAAAAAGAAAGATTAGAAGAGCCAAAATTCATCTGCGATATCAAATAATTTCTTGAACGATATTGAAATATTATGGTGCAATGAAAAGAGTTAAAATTTTTATTAAAATAAATTAAAAAAAATCTGTGATATTATTTTTTATTAATTCTTATCTTATAAATATTTTATGAGGAGATAATTTACATCAGAATTCGGAAAGCACTTAGTTTTCAAGGGAGGCTTCCAGGGCCGCGAGACGCAAAATGTCCGCTTTCTCCCTCCCTAATCCCAATCCCTCCAAAAATCTCCCCTTTCGCATGGGCATAGGCCCTTCCAGTCCCAACCTCGCAGCAAATCAAAGCTCCTACTTTTATAGCGCCCCCAAAGGCCCAAACTACGGTCTCCGTTTGTTTCCCCTGCGAAATAATGGTCTCCGCCGACGCCGATTCTGTCCTCTGCGACTCTTGCGACTCAGAGTGTGCGGTGGTCTTCTGTCGCGCCGACTCTGCGCGCCTTTGCCTCGCCTGCGACCGCGAGGTCCACGCCGCCAACACAGTCTCCTCCCGACACAACCGTTCTCTTCTTTGCGACAGCTGCGCCTCTGCCCCGGCAACCATTTTCTGCCCTACTTCTCCCCACCGTCTCGTCCTCTGCTCCAGCTGCGATTTCAACGCCCACCAGGTTGACGACCACCGACACGACCGCCGCGCCGTCGATCCATTCACTGGCTGCCCCGCTGGCGCTGTCCTTGCTGCCGCCCTTGGAATTGGAGACGACAAGGCTACACTCCCCAACAAGGTCGAAGAGGACTGGGCTTGGGAGGTGCCGCTTGTGTTTAGCTGGGATGATCTGCTTTTACAGCCTACAACTACTTCTTTCCATGGGTTTCAGGCTATGGGAATCCCTCCGCCCCAAAAGGTAATCCAGTTATAGTAAAGCCTGAGATGATTAAAACCTGAATATTTTGCCATGACAAATGTCAATTTTGCTGAATCTCAATGAACTGTTTGACTATTTACGTCAGTATCTAAGATTTGTGAGACCGATAAATCCTTAAAAGCATTAAATTCTGGGAATGCTGGGATTCAATAAATTCTGGATTTATTCAATAATGGTGATGAAACTGATTTTATCAAAATAGCAAGATTTGAAGTATAAAATATTCTATTTTGCAGGATTTCTATATCTTCCTTTAATTCTGCCTCAAATGTGACACCAAGAGGCTGTTGTTTCTAGAAATAGGATTTAATTCAACCATGCAACTATTCTGACCATCTTGGATTGCCTATTCGCCAGGATAAGAATACTTCCTGTGGGAAACGTGAGGAAGAGATACACCGCCAGTTTCGTAAACTGATTGTCAATGAGGCTGATGGTTTTGATTGCAGCGAGGAGAATGTGCCAGTTAAGGAATCCAAATCTTTGCTGCAGGAGAATCCTCAACTAGGAAAGCTAGATAATGAGTATGGTTATCTTCCAGTATTTGTGGAAGTACCTAGCTGTGAGGTCTGCTTTTTACTGTCTTAATGATTTTATTTCTTCCATAATTTCTTACTTTTCTGTATTGCAAATGCTGCTGATATGTATTTTGAGTGCATGTTACTCCAAGTTAGTAGGATTTAATATTTTTGAGATGTTTAGTTTCGGTACACGCTTATCAAATTACTTTGCATTGTTGTGATGGCACATGCAGGCGTTCAATCGCAAATTTATACATGTCCGTGTATTTATGTTTATATATTGATATGCTTTTATACAGCTTTATGCATATTAGAATGTACGATTTAAGAGAAACTAGAAATTCTGAAGAGCAAGAAATTAAAAAAAGGCAAGTTTTAGATTTTTTTTTAAGGTCTTCTTTTTTCGGCCAAAGCATCAAATTTGATTATTTTATGTGAGCTCTTTTGTTGCTAAATGCTGCCTTATCTCCATCCAACGGATTAAGTCAGACTTATATAAATATTTTTATTACTTAAATTGTTTTCACTTCTTCTGATGCAGAAAATGTACCTTTCATTTGAGGAATAAAAAAAAATGTTGAACTCAGTTAATTTGATGCCCATGACCGTCTCACCACTATAGTCATTTTTATTAATTCATATGACAAAGCAAGAATAAAAAATGTACAATTATGTATTTGGGTGTGATATGAATTAAAATATGCAAGGCAGATCTTATTATTTTTTCTGCTTACATGTTTTGGCATGATAGAAGCTGCCACAATCTTTCTTTAATCCTTTTTCCTGTCTTGAATCATTATGCTCTTAACCTGATGCTAATTTTTTTCAGTTTCCAATACTAGTTTACTAAATTTGGTTAAGTTAATCTTGTCTTGTTCTGAATTTTTTTTTTTCTTGAAAGCCTTACCTAAATTTGTGTATATGATATTTGAAAATAAGTAGGAACTAAAATGGATTTAGAAGGGACATGGTGTCATCAGTCGCCTTGTCCTTGCTAGTTTGGGTAGGCTTTATAAAATGGCATTATTGATTTATTTCTGTTGATTATTGAATTAGTTATTTAATCTATTTTGAGCAATTTATTTTGCATAACCTCTTCCTATCCTTGATTTATCCATTTTCCCCTAATCCTTGGACATTAATGGTATCTAACCATTTTTCTTGTACAGCTTCTGCCCCTTCTTTTACATGCCATCAAATCACCTGAGCCATTATGCTAATCCCTCTATCGCTTTGATATAATTTATGTTCAAAGATTTTGTCCTAATTTTGCAGCAAATTCATATTAAAATTGTTAAATTTATCAAGTTCATTTTGACTGTCAATTATTTTCTTACTACAAATGCAGATCTATATAACATACTTTTGAGGCCTTCTTCCTTTTTTTTTAAATATGTACAATATGCTTGAGCTCATCACACCCAAATTTGCTTCAGCACAAAAGATAATATTACGTTTTTAAATATTTTAGGATTTAATTTAAGTTTACTGCATTATCTTTTTGGGTAATGTTGTTTAGAATGAATTATTTAGGTTCATATTTAGTTTTGAATAGAATTAGATTTGATTTTAGATTAGTTGGTTTACCTTTATAATCATATTCTTATAAAAAGAATTCATGGCTTGTAATAATTGAATATATTGAAATTAAATATTTCTATCTCATTCTTTCTCCTATTCTTTTAAATTGTAGCTCTTAGATTCTTTCTTTTTTTATCTTTATTTCCCTTGGATCTTGATTTGTCGAACACATTTTGAATTTGATCTTACCATTGCAGTGTGTGTTTGCTTGCAGGATTGCACTCACATGCATCGGATCAACAAAGACCACAGAATTTTCATTTAGACCACTACTGTCCCCTAGGGCATTGAGCCTGCTACTTGGTTTGTTAATTTAATTGGTAAAAAAAGGGAAATAAGAGGATGCGCCATTACCAAATTGACATCAATAAAACTCTCAGGAATCATTAATTTCTTAAGCCTTAATCTCAGCATGTCAGCATGTATGAATTTCTTGTATGTTTCCATGCCATACGTACAACCATGGAAAATGACATGTTTAACATGTGTGGCTTAAACTTGGGGTAACAGTTGATGGATAAACCCCTTAACATAGAAGTCATAGCTCTAACAAACTATGTTCGTTTTGGGAAATCAGACAAAAATGAGGGAGAGAGAAGAATAAAGGTGGGAAAACTCGGGAAACGTTGTTGTTGGCATACAATTAGATAGGCAGAGATGCAACCATGCGTCTCATGCAAAAGAAACTACTGGCAAATGAAATTAAATTCATTTGCCAAAACGAACAACTATTAAGTTTAAATTCACGACTAAACTACTGGCAAATCAGATGTATTTAGCTGTGAATTTAATTTCATTATTACAATTAAAACAATAATTTACAATTATTAACTTTAAAATTTAATCGAAAAAGTTTAATTTAACTGTACTCTAGGAAGAAGAATAAGGATACAGGTGAACTAAATCTTATTGTTTTGAGTCAATATACAAGCATATAAAGGAGGGTGTAAGGAAAGTAAAAAAAAATGCGACCAGGAGAAATCAACTAACTTAACATTACATTTTTCAATATAAATGGAATATATGTGTGTGTTTGTTAATACTCTCCCCATAAAAATGATGAGGTTTAAAATATAAAAACATTAAAACTGTTGAAATCGACTTGGAGGTCAGACTTTGAAGAAATATTGTCTTGTTGCTTTTAGAAGAGATAATGGTAGGATGAACAATGTCATCACGAATAAGGTCAATATTATCATAAGTACACATCTTACGAAGGTATTTCATATTCCAATTGTAGATATCCATGGATGATAGTATTTTTTTTTTCTTGTCATAGAGCATGAAAGGTTCTAATGGCTTTTGATTCTCCAAGTCTTTCATATAATTCATCTCCATTTATGGCAATAGCTCTAATTGGCAAGCATTGTCTTTAATCTTCCTAAAAATTTTTGAAGGCCTATACATGTTTGGTTTCAACTTATTTCTCCTTTGAGATGATCATTTCTTACTCCTGAGCATTTTTTTTTAATCAACACCAACCATCAGTAGCGGGGGTGTGATAAAATGAAGATAAAAGAGAATTATGAAAACTAATTCTCAAATGGAATCCTTACTCTGCTAAGGGCAATTTGAAGGTATTTCCGGCTGTCTTCTTAAATTTGGGGATGCTTATTGTACCTCCTTATTAGATGTACCATGCTTCCATTCATTACCTTCTATTCATTGATCTGGGGATGGAAGATTGCACTCCCTTTGAAACTAGTATCCATTATGGCCTATAAGACCTCTTAGAATTAAATCTGAAGCCTTGATCAAAGAAAGTTGGTTAATACATGGTGTGCTCATGTTGAGTGGAAGAAGAGCCTAGTCGTCTCTTCAATTATTTTTTTGGTGAGAGGTTAGAGTAGCTATTTTTGAAAATTCTTACATGACCATATAGAAATTATTGTGGCCTCTTCTTGTTGTTGCCAAGAAATCCATGAAGTTTGATTACCATGGACAACTTGTTACGATTAGTTTGTATACGATTCTAGCTTCCTATTTGTAGGGTTGGAGGGACCACAAATTATACATCTTCCCTCATTTTTGCATGTTTGGCCAATAAACATATCATTGTAAATTCTGCAATGTATTTTTTGTTCCAAAATGTCAAGCAGCATTGGATGTGTGTGCCTCCTATATCCATTAGACTTGATCTATTGAATTTGGTGTGCAAAATTGCCCTCTTCTGCAAAGAAGAATATCTCCGAGTAAACTTTGAAGAAGTTTTCTTGTTCAAGTCCTTCAATATCCTTCTAATGAAGGGTCTATTTTGATACTACTACTAAGTAATTCATTGACACAGAAGGTTCAACTTACAAGCAAGCAATAGAGGTGGCGAAGAGAGCATGCCATTCATTTTGTTGGTAAGCCTCTTCTTGTATTTGATCTCTATATCAAGTTATTGTAAATAAGTTATCTACTTAATATGTTGAACCTACTGCAACTTAGTTTGAATTTACGAGATTGAAGTGTTATGGGGTCTATGAAGCATGGATGCTTCAAAATGCCTTTTGCATCTATGTCGGATACAAATATGTCTTTTGACATTCCCCAAAATGTCCAACAATCAAAATTGTGTAAGAAATATCTGAAGATTAAATTAGGTACAGATATTGATTTGACATGGCATGCATGCAAAGGACACATGCTTGAGACAACCATCCCATCCATGACACACCAATTATTTATGCGTGTGGTCAAGACAAGCATTTTTGTCCACCCTCAGTTTTCTCACTGTTACTGTGTTGGACGTCTTTTTTCATATTTTTTGCCCTCAGGCAACTTACAGCATAGCTAGTGTCTTCTTTTTGACAAAATTTCAAGAGTTTGTCAGCACAACCCTTCTATTTTATTTATTTATTTTTGTCTGATTGTCTATTTGACATTGCACTTTGTGGCTTTCTCAGTGTCTTCTCCATGTGTCCTCGCATATTTTTTTTACAATGCAGCAAATGTCTCCCTTTTGATGGAGCTTTAGGTTTGCAGTGATAGCCATCTTCTCTTTTCTCTTCAATTGTTAGTTCAACATTGTCGGCTTCCTCCTTGGTTCCATTGCCTTCATGGCTGCTTTTTTTTTTTTTTTTTATTTGGTCCTTCGTCATCCAACTTTGACCAATGTAACTGACCCATTGCATTCTTTAGCGAATGGACACCTTTTGTTTTCTTCTTTTGCTCATTTAATACGTAGAAACACTGGCCAATGCTATTTTGTTTTGTGGATGTTCAATATTTTCTTGTTTTTATATTTTATGTTCATTTTTTTTTAATTTTCACCCACTGTAGTTGTGTATACACATTCTTGTGATAGTTTAGATGACACATATTAGTTTTAAATAATTTAGACGAACAAAGAAATTTTTAATTTCACTTTTTTGCTATTTTCTTAATTTTTTATTCTTCTTTTTCAAATTACAAGAGCCGATGTCTGGTAAGCTAATAATATTTTTGTGTTTTTTTCTTGTCATAATAGAGATTATTTATGATTAGTGAACTAATATGTAGTGATTATTTTTAATTCCTTTTTATTGTTGAGCTATTTTTCTTTGGTTATTTCAATTAGCTTTTGTGAATTTTTGTGACCAAGTTTGATAAAGTATGTGTTATCGCTATAGGAGGAAATATAAAATGCAATGTCAGTTTCAAGCATATTCTAAGGGGACATTTAGGATGAAAAATTGCTTTCTTAAACAATCTAGACGATGAACATATTTTAGGATGAAAAACTGCTTTGCTTAAACAATCTAGAGGATGAATCTGATCATGTTCATTTATAACATTTGTACGAGCAAATTTTAAAAAGGCGAAATTGGGAACCGATGCATTTTTCCTAGTGAGGTGAGGCGTAAGCCTCGAGGCACCTCGAGGTCTAAACCTCAAAAAGGAAAAAAAAACTTGTAAAATTAAAATAATTCATTAACATGATATAAACCATTAATATGTTCATTTAGTTTGTATCATAAAGACATAAACTACAAACTCTAATCTTAATATTAATATAAATAAAAATTTGAAATGTGATTTTATTTAAACATTCATTTAAAATTTACATAATTAATGTGGTTCATGATCCATAGCCAACTCATTTTTAGTTTCATCATCTTCAAAAGAATTATTATATTTATATTATTTAATTATGTCTCATTTGCAACTTTAAAATATTTTTCATTCACTACAATTTTCTTCTTATCATTAATTTGAAATTCGAAATAAAGGTATAAATTAATAGCATAGTCAAATAATCATACTTAAATTATCTTTTGACTTCTATGAGAAATTGTATCAAATGCATATGTATAATATAATATAATATAATATATATACTCTCCATAACTTGATTGAGGCGTTACCTCAAACTTTTCGAGGCATAAAGGCTCGAGGCGTATGCCTCAAACGAAAAAGGTGCAAGTCTTCGTGAAGCGTAAGGCTTGAGAATTTTTTTGTACGCCTCAATTTGATGGACGCCACGCCTTTTTAAACAAGATGCACAATTTAAAAAATTTGAAAAAATAGGTTTAGATGATCAACATGTGAAGAAGGATGCCTCATTTAAAAAGGTTTCCACTATTCTAGAGAGATTGGTTTTGATGAAATGACTCAAACATTCCATCTATCAATAAAGTGAAATTTATTTAGAGTGGAAGATTTTAATCTATGAAAGAGTAAAATGTCTTGACAAAAGTTAACTATTAAACGTGCATTTACTTTGTAATTTAGAGATCAATTGTGTTAACCATACCCAAAATTAACATGATTGCTCAATTTTGAGATGTCAACTCGCAACGAATATTAAAAAAAAATTATAATTTGATATTCTTTTTATTAAAACACTAAATAGTTAGTTTATTAGTTTTAATTAATCCAAACCTGTAATGATGCAACCTAAACTTTCTCGATTTTTTTTTTCAAATTTCTCAAGCTAAATCCAGATCTCTATCCAAACCTTTAGACATTTTGAATTGAACTTGAATTTATTGTCTGGGGTTCAAATCTTAATTTTCTTGTCGGGTTCGATATTGACACATCTAAATATAGTTACAGTAGGATGCCTGAAGTTTTGAATCTCTCTCATGATGGCCAGGTTTGGAATTTTTTTTTTCCTAGACGGTATCGATGCCATTGAAGAGTGCAGAGATATTAGTGCTAGTGATGATCTTAACATCAGATGCGCTATCTTCAACTAATTATTTATCATTAATTACTCATATGTATATTTTACTTATTTTGAAGAAGCTATGGGCGTTTATTTTTTTAGTATTTTTGACATTTTATAGGAAACATTGGTAAAAGATGTGGCAACTAACGCTGATTAATGTGTGCTAATGTTGTTATATTGTTGAGAAATGATAATTGCTACATCTGATTAAAACTTTTTATTATTAATAATAATAATTTTTTTATCTTTTTACTATTAAACTTCTCAAGTGAAGGGCATGCATATTGTATCAACTTCATTGTGTTATGTCCTTAAGAGAAAATATTTATTAAAAGTAAAATGTATGCTTACGTTTTACCTACAGAGCTTGTAGTTTTATGTTATGCTTACGCAATAATGAGAGTGGATGAAAAAAAGATATAAAGATAGGCAGTCAACTATTCCTTTGTTTGTTTCTCATTTTTTGAAATGATGTAATATGTACTTTAATCAACATATGCTTAAGATGACACCATTTTTTTTAATTAAACTAAAATCTCTTTGGATAAAATATGTGAAATGCTTCTTACCTATTTCCAATTCAGATTTCAAAGACGAATGAAAGTGAAAATCATTTCAATTAAAACATCATAGCAACATTATTTTGATTTGTACTTTTGATCCAAAGAGAAAGGGTCAGGAGCTCTTAATATCATTTTTCATCTTTCATTCATAATATTTATGGGAAGCATTTTGGCCTAGTGGTCGAGAGCTTTGTATTTCAATCAAAAGGTCTTAAGTATATATATATTGATACAAAAGAACTATTTTCTTAACTTTTTAGCTGTCTTACAATACTCTACTTCTAACTTTAAGTGCTTTAGATTGGGCGAAGATGCTAGATTTTCTTACTGATTTCAATGCAAGGAGGATACTCAGGATCAAGGTGGGGAGAAGAAGTCCTTAGCTTCAACAATGGCGGAGACACAAGATCGAAGAGGGAAGCTGAAGTTAGTTTCTGTGAAGCGCGAACACTGAAGAGGGAAGCTGAATCCCGCTTCTGTGAAGTTGGAGATGAGAGATTTAAGTGGGGAGCGACGAGCAGGCTTTGATTGATAAAATCTTTGTGTGAATGACTTAATTTTATTAAGCATTCTATCATTTCCTCTTTTGGATAATTCAATTTTGGCCTCTTTTTCGATTGTGGCTGCCCCTCTTACGTTGAAAAATTGGAGGGGATTAGGCGTTGCACTCATTACTTTAGAACATAGCTCTTCCTCTTCATGCAAAGGTGGAAGCTAAGCCTACTTCAAAAAACATGAAGCTTGATTTGCTCAAAATTAGCTTAACTTCACTCCCACTTCAGAATTGAAAATTATCTAGAGTCAATTTCGAGTTTACTCCCTTGAAATCATGTGTTTATTTCTAATTATGGGGAGATAAATGATTACCAAAAAAATCCATCAGAGTTTCTTCCTATTCTTCATTAGTGTTGGGCAAGGAATCTTCAATGACCTTTCTTAAGGCAAACTCAATCACCTATGATTGAATTATATCGAAATCCTACGGTGAAATTATAAAATGAATTTACATTCTTTCAAAGCAAACATATCCTTAGATAAAGGAAAGTAAATGTCTTTATATATGTGGAGTTTCCTTTGTTGCAGATCAGTAAAGTACAATGCAACCTCACCGATGATCAGATGGCTGTCCGCAACCCAGTGGAAGTATCACAGGAAAAGCAGATTGGAAGCTCCTCCTCGGCTGAAACATTTGCTGATAGAACCATAGAAGCTGCATCGCATCCATGCCTTCCTAAAGATGAATTATTTGACCGCAGCTCTGTTATTCTGAGATACAAGGAGAAGAGGAAAACAAGAAGGTAATTCTAAGCTACAGTTTCTGAAAATGTTTACTGCTGTTTTTCTTTTTCTTTTTTCTATTTTTAAAAACAAAATAGTACTGTTAACCAAGCAGATATGATAAACTCGTACGATACGAATCTAGAAAGGCTCGTGCTGACAGCAGGGTGAGAATAAAGGGTAGGTTTGCCAAGGCTAACCAGGTCCCAAATCCTCCATGATAAGCACCTCTTTCACTCAAATGCAATACATCGTCAGATTCAATCTTGGGGTGTACTGGTAGTCCAGTCTTTTGTTTTTTTGTTTTTGTTTTGTTTTTTAATTTCAAATCTCGGAAAGTAGTTTTCCAGTTGTTGTTAATAATGTATATATATTGCTGAATGGGTTGGACAATGACTGGTAAAAAATTGTATCATTTCTAAAATAAATCTAAACTGAATCCTGCTGAGATGGTTTTATAACTATCGAAGCGATGGCTTGGATATTTTAATAGTGTAAAGCACTTGTTTTGTAGTTGTAGGAAACAAATTTGTCATTATGCCTCTGCTCAAATACATGCCTCTATGCATCGTAAGGTCTATTCAATATTATTCATCACTCGAAATATTTTTTTATGAGATTTTTACATACATATCACCCCAAAACACTCATATTTATGCATCTCACATCTGAAATTTCTCGCACCTTTCTTAACACATCTGTTAGAGGAGAGCTGTCTGTGGGATTGCAGCAAACAAAGACGTCCGAAACTCTCATATTTTTTGTCCTGTTGCTCGGCTCCTATTCCTAGATTTTGGCAATGCTGCCAGAGTTACGAAGCAAAAAAGCGATTGCTGCGAACAAGGCCGTTTGTAACTACAATCCTTCTCTTTCCACCCTACTCCTATTCGAAACAATTGAGAAAGGTGCTCTAAATCATCGAGGAAGATACACGGTGTACAATGATCTCCGAACCTCTCATATTTCTTCTTACACCGCGCTTGCGATATTGGATCGCGACGTACAAAAACCTGCACAACTCCTAATTTTTTCCTCCTTCCGCCTCGCGCTTGCATCAATGATGTGATTGTGTCGTACAGAGATCTCAGAAGCTCCCATCTGTCTCCTTTCTCCCCAATGATCACGGAGGGTGATCATCAGATTCTGGACACAGTTTTGAGTTTAAAGTTTGGGCGTAATTTTGCATTTGGATTCCAATAATACAATGTCATGTGTAAAAGTGGTGGGATTTGATCTCGCGAAAAATAAAATTTTTCTTGCATTGAAAACAAAATGCGCACACCGGCATCATTTTCATTTTTGATGGGCTAGGTTTTCTTTTGTGATTTTGATAGCCACAATCTCTTGTTTAAAGAGAGGCCCAGCGTTTTAGGTTTTCATCATTGGAATTGTGAAGCACATTCGAGGTTTTAGCGTCTTCGACATTGGCATTGGGAAGCGTGGTTGACGGTTTAGCGTCCTCAACATTGGCATTGGGAAGCACGACCTGATATTAGCTCAGGATTCCGCCTAAATTTTTACAAACAATGTCATCTGTTCTATGTGTTTCAAAGTTGTTTTGAGTTGTAAAATCTTCTAAACTAAAGTAGTTGTTCAATATTTAGGGTTTAGGGTTTACACTAGCAATAATGAATCCAAGAAAGGAAAAAAACGACAAAGAAAAAGAGAGGAAACTGATGAGATAAATAGAGAAAATATTTATTTTCAAGTGCATAATATTTTGCTTGTGTGAACTGCATATAATCGAGAAAATATTGCATTCGGAGATTTTCATTTGTCTCATTTTTCTCCGGACGCATTTGTTCAAAGCAAAACTTCATTTGTCTCATTTGTTAAATGTACTATTTGCAAGTTTCCTTTTACAGTCATATTTATTTTTGACTTATTATTGTAGAACAATGCATTTTATCTTTGGGAGGTTTACTTGTTCAATTGCGTTTGGAAAAACAAAAAATATCCATATTTGTAAATATTATTTGCAATTATACCTCACTATACCATCGCGAGCATCATCATATTAACAATATAATATCACTATAATATTAACACATTATAACCTCAATTCCACCAAAATATCACAAGAGTCCTACCATAAGACAACCAGAATATCACCATAATACAAACAAATTACCACCAAAATGAAACCTCAATATCACCTAAGATTCAATACCACCAAAGTAGCACCAAAATACCAGTGCTGCACCACCACAATATTACAAAAAACTTACCACAATATTACCATACTGCCAACAAATTTGCATCACATTACAATCTAAATATCACCAAAATACTACGACAATACCAACAAAATACCACTAGAATACCACCATAGTGCCACCAATTTTGTGCAATGCCATTCTGTTAGTATTTTGGTGGTATTTTAGTTGTATTCTGAGTATTCTAGTGATATTTGATTGTAATTTGGTGGTATTATGATGATATTATGGTGATATTATGTTGGTATTTTAGTAGTATTATTGTGATATTTTGATGATATAATGATGATATTGTTTAATTTTTTTTTTGAAGAAATCTTTTGTTATGTCACACTGCCTTTGAAGAACATCCATGTAAATATTATGTAATTTTTTTTTCAGTGTCATGAACTCAAGAATGTTGACCTGCAGATGCAAGTCTTATGCTGTTAGAGCTGTCTGTGATTCAGTTTTTCAGCGCATTAATGAAGAAACTAAAACTACTATGAAAGATTTACATCTTATGTTCTTCGACATGCCTCCTTATCAACAGTAAAATCCACTAACATTATAAATATTAAAATTTTGGGATATCAAACAAAAGGTTTTCACAATAGGTAGCAAATGTTTAAGCTTCAATTTGGACAAGGTATCCCTTCTTATCGACATGCTAAATGGTGGAGAACCTGTGAACTAGGATAAATATCCCATATCCACTATAAATTTAATACAAATAAAAGAATGAGTTGTTGGAAGTTGCTTCAAGACATTATTCAACACCTTTTGTAGAGTTGCTCATAAATTTTTGTTGGAGAATTTATTTTTTCCATCAAGTAATTACAATGTCCCTAGTGGGTTGTACAGTTTTGGCCAAAATGCAAACACTTTCTTTTCCTTCAATTGGTCAGGAGCCATATGTCATTTTCTGGTTGAGCAAATCAAGCTCCAGGATGCATAAATGGTTTTGTTTTCTTGTTAATGACTAATATGTTTGATATATTAATCTTATTTTTTATGGCATGTGAAAAAATGAATTTATTTTTTATAGTTTTGTTTTATGAGCACGTATCCATTCTTAACCAAACCTCACCTAACGCAAGGCATTACATGCTCAAATGGTCTAAAATGAGGTCTTGGAGCACAAGAATGATTGATATTTTTTTCTCTAGACTTACATCCGAACGGGTAACAATGATGTCAACATTTTTTTCCAAACAATTGGGTGGTGTTACATTTACATACACAACATGATAATTTAGTTTTTTTTTGTTATTATAGATCTTTGATTCTCTTGTAGATTTAACTACCGACAAACAAGTACTTCTTTTTCCACTAACCCACGTTTCATCGAGTCCATTTTCTAGCCCTTTCATAACTGAGTTTAACATCTCGACTAGACTCACCCCCTGTACAATCTGTTGAACCATCTACTCCTCAAACTCCAACTCAAACTCCAACTCCAACTAATCATGAATCAGAAACTGACATTGAAGGACTTCAATTACTGAGAAGCCATAATCACAAAATAAACCAAGTTGCAAAGTAAAATAAACTAATTGGAAATAAGGGCATTAATTGTTGAGAGAAAATACAAGGAAAAACCAATCTATAAATATTAAATGAGCATTATTTTCCAGAGATTAAAATCAAGATAAAACTGAAATAAGAGGAAATTAGAATCCCCTTACATAGAATTTCAATTCAAGAAAAGAAAAGTTGAGGGCATTATAACCAAACCAGACGAGAAGCTATTCGAAGTACTTGAAACTAGAATAGTGGAAGAGGGTATCGGGAAGGCATGAAAGACACTTCAATCCATGTCAGTCAAGGAAGAAACCAGAAAGGAAGAAAAGGGAGTTGAATATATGGTGATCGGGGAGGGGAACAAGGTCCCGATTCTTTTGTAGGAGGAGTAGGAGAAGTTCATTGAAAGAATTTTTGCTGATGATTATCCAGATAAGTTATTTTAATTTTTAAGTATACATAACATCATACTATATTCTAAAGTACTTTTGTTGTTTGAATATGAAGTATGAACATGCACAACCTGCTATGAACTTTCCTGCAAGGGATGATATATCCTTACGTATGGAAAAGGTCATTGATCAACACCCCCAAATGTTCAGTGACAAGTTAGCATTTTTTTCCAAATTCAAATTAGTTCCAACTAAAAATATATTTATCTATCAATTCTTTTGTATGTCGTTACTGCATGAGTGATACAATGATTTACAAAAAACATTTTGCAATAATACGATCTCCGATTGATGAATCACTGGAAAATCAATGATTGGCCAATGAACACATTGATGCATTTGTACTTTTGCTGGAGAAGAAAAGGAATACAATTCTGAGTTTTACAAACTGTACCTGTATATATTACCCATGTATTGGGTAAGTATGCACATTGCATTATAGTTTTAATTAATCATATAAAATTTATACTTTTATTTTTATGTAAATAACATAAACAAACATAATTTGGCATACCTACTTTTGTCACAACATTGAGAGTAAGATTTTTTTGATACACATAACCAAACTAAAAGTTGGAAAAGCAAATATTTTATTGATTCTGATAGTACATAGTCAACACTAAACTCTATTGTTTAGGGAGTTAACGTTGAGAGAATGATTGTTATACGATTCACTTCCGAAAAAAATCTCACAAGGATATATTTCATGAAGTTGTGGGGAAATACAATAATACATGATTCGTTCTTCATTTGTTTAGTATTTAAATTTAAACTACTTGACACGTCTTTAATTGTTTTGAATGTCAAACTCATTGTTGAAGAAAGTGCCAAGTTACTGTTCTTAGAGGACAACCAACACAAACAAATAACATTGACTGTGGGATGTTCATTTGTAATTACGTAGAAAAATTGGTGGGCATAATGCCAATAAATTGGGATGATTAAAAGGCATGACAACTAAACATGTCACGATTTAGAGCAGAATTTGTTTACGAACATTATGTATGGTTGTTAGAAAATTGTGGATAATCATCAAGACTCTATGAAATTTATGTATATATTATCATGTTTGATGTTTTTTGAGTAGGGAGCCATGAAGAGTTAGCTTAATAATTGTAAGAGTACTTGGAATAATATTAAGAATTAGATGTGAATGGATGGGTCAAAACACTGGCATATAGGCTATGGGATTTGTTTTTTTCATATATAATTGTGTGATTTGTGCATAACTTTTAATATTTATAAATTCATCTTTCGATATATAATTAAGTTCATTTACTTATATATCAATAGTTTGATAAATTAACCATAAA